TATATATATATATGGACGCAAGTAGAGAGAGAGAATAAAAAGATACATTATTATTAGATGCTTCAGAAGCAGCAGAATTCGAAGATAAAGGTGCCTCACATAGAGAATCCCCACGAAAAATCCATCTGCGGATTGAATTATCCTGCATCAATAAAGTTCTTATAAGCACATTCAATCTCAAAAGCAATTCATATAAAATTGAAATGAAATACATATAGGTTTAGTAATTTGAGTCCTCTATTGTTTCACAAGACGAGAAAAATATCACTCAGCATGAGAAAAACTTGAGCAAGATTTAAATTTCAGAAATGTTTGCTGAAAAACAGTTAAATTTCCTGGCATGAATTAATAAACAAGAACAACATTACCTACTTAACATTTAGCCCAAACTAAAAAGAAAAAAAAAAGTAAATATGAAATGTCATGTTAGATCATGAGTTGTTAATCAACCCTGACACAAGCACTGCAATCAATTTTGTGCCAAAATCCAGGTATGAGTTTGTACTAAAAACAACAAGTAGCATGCAGGAAATAATTTGTTTTGTTATTGGTGATGTGTTTATTAGCTAATTTGATTTCTTAAATTATGTAGTTAGATTAAACTTAAAATCTAATTTTCCCATCATAGGGGACCAAGGAGACTGCATGAACAAAGCCCCAGAAAGCCAGCAGGCAAGAGGATTAGATTAGATGGGGCTTCCACATGCCAAATAGAGCACGAGCACCCCACACGTGACGGTGGCAATTTTGACCATACATGATCAAGCCATGCTCAAGTATTCTAAATTTTGACATAAAAAACTACTAACATTCCTTCCTCTTTCTTTTTAAAGCTATGGGGTAAGTTTTGATTAAATTTTAAGCACAACGTTTAGTTCAAAATGCAATTCTTAGTTAGGGTTTTCCTCTTATAGTGATATTTATTTTAGATTTATTTTGTTATTTCTTTAAATTATAAAAGATTTAGTTTTTTTTTTGTTTTACAAAAAATTTAGTAGGAGGAGAAAAATTCATGAGAAAAGTTTGAGATTTTGGAAAAAGGATAAAAATATTGAGTTATGCAAATAGAGAGTTTATTGATGAAATCTGAAATTTTTTAACTTCTTTAAATTCAGAAAAATTGATAGATTCAAGCATAGTTTTAAGTATTTAATTTCAAAATTGCAAGTACATTATTTTATAAATTCCAAATTTTAATAAAGATATTAAACTTAAAATTAATAAGGAAATCCAAAATTTATTTTGATTTAAAATCTTGTATATTTATGCTATAAAAATGATTTCAGCAATATTAAAGTTAATATTCCATAAGCTTGATTGAAATGGAAAAGATAAAAAATTTTATACTAACTGATAAATTTAATGCAAGTATAATACAAACACATAAAATAATATTAATAATTAAAAACTATGCCAAAAAGAAAAGTTTGATATATAAAAAAGTCTAAAAATTGAAAATACAAAAAAAGTTTAATTCAATTAAAGACATATTTTATTTAAGAAATAAGGACAAGATGAGCAAGAAAATCAAAATATTATGTTATTATATTATGTTATATGTTTGAATTAATTGAATTAAAAGGCATAAATGTTGATTATCACATGTAAAATAATAAAATTTGAGATTAAAAAGATTTATATTGATTTATATACTTGAATATATGTAAACATTAAAAAATAATATCCATCTAAATAGAAAAAATTTTATATGTATAGTTAATTAGAAAACTTAGAATATTTATTTGATCTAATCAAATATAATGACATGTAATTTAGATGTGAGATCCTAGAAATTATAAAAAAAGAAGTCTGACATACAAAGAATAAGTAAAAAGATGGTTTCCAAGCGAGGTGGGTAACTACATTCCTACTTTACAGTAATCAAATATAGTTCACATAAAATTTTGATACGTCAATTTATTATATCCTTTTTTACATGCAGATTGGCTTCCAAATTTTGGATTATTATAATTTTAAAATATTTTTAGAAAATGAGTTATTTCAATCGGCAGCAATTGATCATTAAAAATGCGAAAGAATACAGCTTGTTTACAGTCAGCAAATATCAGTTGAAGATAGGTATAGCAATACAATGGTATACCTTATAAAAAGCATTACAAGTAAAACTATAAGTTTTAGTTGGTCAAATTGAGATTGGGAGATTTATTGTTGTAAATTTTCTAAAAAATATATAGAGATTTTTCAATCTGACAATCGGTTCCCACCTTTGTATTTCAAACTTTCAGGTCAGGTTGTAACTACCTACAACTCAATATCCTCCATATGATATCATAACATACCATTCCAATATCCAAAAGAGCACAAACTCTACAAATCCCTTCCAGAATATAGTAAAATCACTACCACCCAACCCTCAATGCAATGGGTAAGACCAATCCAAGCAATTTTGGACTAAAAATATCAAGCTTTCACCAAGCGCTCATCACAAAAAAATTTAAATAAATACAAGTAAATCCAGAAGAACAAAATTACTCAATATTAATGCAAAACTAAGAAGATATTCAAGCAGGATGAAATGTAAACAATACTTTGTGAATATATATGAAATAGCCGTTATATAAAATAGAAAATAACCATTAGATGAAATGTATAAAGACTAAACAATCAGATATTTTTGAAACTAAAATATGGCAACAAATCTAAAATAAAAATTACAAAGAATTTCATACCTGACTGCAACTGTACAAGCAAGCACCATCAAAAGCCCAAGCCAAACCTGTTACCTATAAGAATAGCACAAATATATCAGCATAGGAATTACAAGAAAAATAGTGGCATACACCTGACTATTGCAAAATACCACTTGTTCATGGGCATTACAGTTCGCAACAAAACGAAGCTTCTTGCTCGATATATCATAAATCCACACATCCAACATTCCAGCTCCTCTTCCTATCGCTAAAACAACTTCCTCTGGCGTTGTTATTGGAATAACCAAAGCAATTGTCGAAACAGAAACAGATGTAGCATTTTTCACCTATAGATCAAGGGATAACAATTAGATGAGACGTTAAGGAATAAGAAAGTTAAATGTCCGGGGAAATAAATAAGGAAATAGCAACATTTAATCATGAAAGTGATACCTCTGCTAATAATAAAAAGCAATCATTCCTAACGTCTGTCGCTAATAGAAATCCTTCAACATTGCCGGACCAAATCTTCACACTGGAAATCAACAACCAATTCAACATTGATATATTATTAACAGAATCAATTTGTAAAAAATAACAACAAGAAGTTTAGCAACACATGCAAAAGTAATACACAAACTTTTGTGCTTGACTTTAATAGTGATAAAGGCACCATGGCCAAACCATAATTTATAAGACCTAAAACTAACTGGCATCAGTTGTTTTCTGTATTAAAACCCAGACTTCCCCCTTCGGAGGAGAGGGATAACATCATAGATGACACGCCCAATGGTAACTTGCATCAAGTATTATAAATTACGTGGTGAATGATGCAATGTTCAGAGTTATTGCCAAAGTAGACTACAACTATTAGCTTGCTCTGTAAAATGAATTGGCCATGCGTAAAAAACCTCCATGACAGGAATGTCGGATGATAGAAGGACACCAAACAAATGAATGTATCAATAATCTAGCTTGACAAAAAAAACTAAATGGAGATTCAAAGTTCCGTTGTCTTCGAAAATGAAAAAGGAACTTTTACCTTGTTTTAAAAGATGAATATGCAATTTAAGCATTTGAAGTTTCTTTCCTTTTACAAAGACTTCGAACTCACAAATGCTTTGTACCACATAACGTAAAACGTGACCATAAGAGAAATGGAAGTCACGATTCAAAACCTTTTGCAAAGTCCCCAATCATAAATATTGGCAAAGAAAAAAAGCTGAAAGCCAGAGCATAAAACAACAAATAAATATGGGAAATGATCCCAAACAATTATGGGCCGATTTGGTTTAAAAAATCAAATTTGGCTGCAAATAAGGAGCAAAGTGTAGATTAAGCATTGTCATAATTTGGTTGAGCCAGGTAGAAGTGGGGCACATGAAAAAAGCTTCTATATGCTGAAAAGATACAACAAGAATAATAGCAGCTAGCATAAAAACCTACTGAAGCGGAGCATCGTTGCACGAGATTGCGGAATCTCGCGTATTCGCGGGATCGCAATAACACCAGTGATCACAATTGTGTGGATAAATATGTGATCCCATCCTATTGGCTCTTTCAGCCCAATTTTATTTCTTTTCTCATTTTTTTCTTATTTTATTTTTCCAAT